TATTATTTAATATAAAATAATTCTTTTGATAATTCTTTCTTTTACAGTTTTTTTACACGGTTTCATCGTACTTTATGACAATGAGACAAATGATAGACTAGTAAAATTGGATTTTAAATTTACCGTTTAGTTAATAAAATATATAATTAATACATACCTATATATTTTTGTTTCGACCTTTTATCTGCAAGTGTTTATTTAACGTTCCCTTCAATTTCAATAGTTCGTTACTTTCAACTTTATAATTTGTCCATGAAAGACAAATTATTGATTTGATGTTTGATAATTGATTGCTCTCTAACTATGCAACCCAAAAATTTTTTCTTCATTAGTTAACTTGCAATATATTTTGAAAATAATTTAATGCATGATGCACAATGAAAAAAACACTAAAATATAAGCTGTTTATAGCAATGTAAAAAGCACATATCATTGGATGAATAAAACTAGTTACATAAACGAATCTACGATAAAAACAATTCTTATCCAACCCTAAGCATAAAAACTGAATGAAAGAAAAAAGGAAACGAGTATTTTCTTCTATTACTAGGTACTCAATTGAACGATAGTTTACTTCTGCATAACTGCACACACCCCTATTTCACGATAGGGTGGTAATTGTACAGTTCTAACGATACCATGATTACATAGTACTCTCTCAAGAAGTATAGTTTTTAATTTATTAATCGATAGCTTATTCCTTCCATAGCTTATACCACAAGTAAACTAATAGCATGAGAAGGTTTTTATTGAAAATATGAATCAAATTACCCTCGTAGTAGAATGGATAGTACTATCAGATGGAAAAAATGTTTAATCGACTAGGGGAAACAGGGAAGATTATTTCAGGAAGAAAAAAAGAGAAGGAAAAGAAATAGGTGGAATAAAAGAGTAATTCGTAATTTTTTAATACTGCGTATCCCTTTGCCAACATCACCAAGTGTTTTATTTTTTTTTTCTATTCTTTTTTCTCTTTTTATTCAATTTGTACACGATGTTACCGAAGTCATCACCGGAAGCAGCACTCCTCTTTACAAAACTTGCCGTTGGATTAGCTTCATCTTGGCCACCATCTCCAATGGCTAACAAATTTCGAACTCTTATTTTTGATATCTCATGGTACGCGTTATTTACAAGTGGATTGCTTTTATTATTTCCATTGTTTAACACCCTTTATGTTTTACGAGATAATTACGTCGTAATAAGTAAATCCGTTTGCCTATTTTGCGCCGTTATTCAAGTACTTTTGAAAATGATATTCAGTCGGATTCAACGAACGCAATTTCAGGTACGATATGCATTTATTTTTTAACTTAGAGGGTTGAAATTTGGTACATGGGGATATTTTATAAGGTACTTCGAGATTCTCAATTTAAAGCAAAATCTATCTACCCCTCCCGAGAAATCATTCGAAAAGTAATGGAATTATTCATATATTTTATGATAACGCACATTCTTTTATTTTTATTTTTATTATAATTTTGATTTTTTACTATCTAGGCATTGTTCTTTGAAATGGAAAATTTTTGCCGTAACGCAGACGAACAAGAGAGATCCGTATTAGAACGAACCGTAGAAAGATGCAAATTCGTACACGTTACTTACACATTGGGGTGTTATCTTACCGCCGTTATAATCATTTGTGGTCCTTTGTATACAAGTCAAAATTTTCCAACCGATGCAAAATATCCTTTTGAAATAGATCATCATCCAATAAAGGAAATCATTTTCTTACATCAAACATTAGTCGGATTGCAAGCATCTGCTGGTTTGACCATTGATTGTCAAGTTGCACTTCTTCTTTGGTACACCGGTGCCAAATATGAGATTTTGACAGAGAAATTGATGGATATTCAGAATGATAATCAGTTAAATTTTTGCTTGAAGAAACATCAAGAAATTATTAAGTAATTAATTAATATTCATTTCAATTAGATAAAAGGATATCGGGTCATTGAGTATGAAACGTTAGGTTATTTCAATTAGTTTAAACAAAAAAATCGAACATTTCATACTTAATGATCATCAATATATGATCGTAAAATTCGAACGATTACTTCTTCTTTTATTTTCCCCAGGTATACGGAACAAGTAAAAGGTGTGGTAAAATATTTAATACTAACAATCGTCACTACTACTAACGTAGTCATTATTTTTGGTGGTTTAAATATCGTTAGCGTAAGTAATTAATATTTACAATCGTTCGATTTATTAATTGTTAATGTTATAGGGAATGTGTACAATATGAGGCAATACCTAGGCATTGTACACATTCCCTATACATTAAAATTTATCAATTGAAAATTGAAAATAGTATTTCAAATACGATAGCAACAACCACTAATCGTGAAAGTTCAATACATTGTTATAGTTATCAGTGCAAGTACTGAACTTTTTATTTGTGCTTGGCCGGCAGACAATTTAATTACAATGGTACCTTTTTTATATTTTGTTATAAATTACTTATAAAAATTTAATTTCATTTATATATTGATTATATCTAAATACACATTGTTAATTTTATTTCAGAGTCAAAATATTTCCCAAGGCATTTACAATTCTAATTGGTTGTCAAGTAAACCAAAAACTAGAAGAACTATTATCCAATGTATTTTGAGATCACAAAAGCCTGAAAATATTCATATTGGAAGTGTCCTTCCAGCATTATCCTTGAAATATTACGCTTCTGTATGTACGTTTAATTTGAAACAAAAAAAAATGTAAATATTTATTCCTATAATATTTCAGTTCTTATCAACGTCGTTTTCTTACTTCACCACATTACGTGCTACTCTCAATGACAACTAAGAGGGGCTGAGAACGTTAATTTTCACCGTGATTGTGGAGGGAGGGGTGTATGTCTGTGTGTGCCTGTTGCCCGATAATATATTCTTTTCAATATTGCCTAAATAGCATTTGGTGTTCTATAGAATGTCTAAGTATCATGTTCAATGCTTAGGAAAAGTCCGTAAAAATTCTTCTGTTTCCTACATTGTCAAAAAACGCGTTGCATTGAGGACAATGCCGGGATATCGCTAACATTGCCTGATTTCCCACTATTGCCGGTAGCATATATATATATGATAATATATCAATCATACTACCAATTGAAAATTTGGAGGATAAAAAGAAAAATCATAATTGAACAAAATAAATCGTACACCATAATCATAATTACTTTTAAGAAAAAGAACACGCAAGTTTTTCTCATTCTTAAGTATATTTATTTATTATACTCACGTTATTAAATAATCCAACAAAATTTTTGTTTTATCCACGCACACGCACACATACAACACACCCACGAGTTTCAAATGCAAAAGATATTTTTCAAACATTCTTTTTCTACCTGACGATGAATTTTATTCAAAAACCGTAAAGGGAAACAATATCGTGAAAGGTTCAACCCCTTTTGTCTACCTCACAATCGTATAATAATCGAAGAAATATTATCTCATGGATAATAGGGGAAATAATGATAGTCTGTAGTTAATATTACGAATCGATACGAATTCACCACTTAAACCGTGTGCGTAAGTGTATACTTAACTTGCTTATTTATTATCACTAGGAAGGATACAATTTAAAATGGAAATTATTGGGATGTACGTACGTAACACAGTAAGAAAATTTTGATTTATTCAAAGAGGGAGGAGTTAACACGTCAGTCAGTCAGTCAATTCACTTAGTCAGAATTTCTCAAACGATTCTTTTACTCGAGGATTATTAATGAACCATTTTCTCTTCGGAAGGGAAAATAAGTACATCAAAGGAAATGAACAAGTGTTAACATTCACAGATATACATAAACAGACGTTTTATAACAGCATTTGAAGAAGAAGAAGTAGAAGAAAATGTTTAAAATATCCCCTGAAAAAGCAATTGTTTTTTTAAAAGCCAGCGTCAGTTTGACTGGCTGTTGGCCAACCTCATCAAAAACATATTCTCGTATCATTTTATTCGAACTTTTATGGTACATTTTATTAGCCAATAATTTATTTCTTTTATTCCCATTGATCAATGCAACTTATGAAAACCGTGCCGATACCATACTTTTGACCAAATCAATTTGTTTGTCTTGTGCTGTTGCACAAATCACTTTTAAAATGATATTATGTCGTCATGAACGTCCTCGATTTCAAGTAAGTTGATTTTCTTGTGTTGAATTTATCTTTATTATAGACACACACACACACACACACAACACATTATTCGTGGTAGATCGATATAATAAAAAATCATGTTAGTTATCTTAAATAATATACGCGGATGGATTGAAAAGTATGGAGATTAACACACGAGAGGGATTAAAATATTCTGAGCTTTATGATTTTTCGTTTGTCATGTTAGGTTCAAAACTTTTCAACCCATCCACTCAAATGTGTTAGAGATCAGTTAAACGAAATATGAAAGATTGTAGCATTAGTTGTGTAAGAGTATGAATAGGGGTCCGAGTAAATGTAAGCACTACTACATATACCGTATGCAATCAGGCGTCGAGTTTATGAAAAAAAAAATTATGAATTACGCTAAATTAACGAACTTCCTGACTTAATTACGCCCACCTTATAGTTGTGTCTGTGTTAATATAATATAAATTTAATAAAAATAATTGCAATAAAAAATGTAGACAAATAAATGTAATCTATTAGTACACAAAACCAGAGTTAAATACGGAAGTTAAACTTAAAATGAATGTATTACCTATATACACATACACACACATATACAAACACTGGATTTTTCATTTTTGTAATAATTCACTTATTTAATATAATTTTATTAATTAAATGTCTTGTTTTTTGTTTATTTCAGTCGTTGCTGTTAGATTTGGAAAATTCTTGCAAAACTGATACCAACGATGAGAAAATTATTCTCGAAAGATTTATAGACAAATGCAAATACGTTTATGTAATTTACACGAGTTTATGTTATTTAACAGCTTTCATCGTTATCTGTAGTCCATTGTACACGAATCAAAAATTTCCAACGACTGCTAAATATCCCTTTGCTGTCGATTATTCACCTATTCGTGAAATAATATTTCTGCATCAGAGTTTAGTAGGTTTGCAGGTATCAGCTGGTATGTGTATCGATTGTAAATTGGCTGCACTTCTTTGGTACGTTGCTGCTAAATTCGAAGTACTGTCAAAGGATATAAGAGAATTTAAAAACATGGAAGAATTGAATGCTTGTATTACGAGACATCAGGAAGTGCTCAGGTAACGAACGAGAACGTGACATTGCATCGTTTAAGAAAAAAGTACTTCATTACAGGTACGCAGGTGAAACCAAAGATGTTATTTTGTATTTGGTTTTAACTACGATACTAACGACTACCATGGGTACTATATTTGCTGGTTTAAATATCGTCGATGTAAGTTTAAAAACATTATTATTAACATTATTATTTTAGTTATCTTGTATATGAGTCGTTGGTAATAAAATTATTAATAATATACAATCTTTATTATTATTATTATAATTAGATAGATATAAGATATCTCGATAATCACTTTTTATCTAATAGAAAAAATTAAAAACGTATTTTATATACCGAAATCTTCGTTTATAGCATTTTTTTTTCGATTGTAATCAGAATTGCGATTGAACTACGACTTTTGCTAGAGATACTCTGTATTTTTTGTATTATCAAAAAATTTAATATAATATTAACGTTTATCTGTAATTTTATTAAAAAAGTATGATGATTAACGTAATAATTTATTTTTATTTTTGTTTTTTATTAACATTAGCAACAACCATTGGCAGTTAAAATACAATACGTCTTCGTCGTGTTCGTTGCAAGTGCAGAACTCTTCATTTATGCTTGGCCTGCTGATAATTTAATAAATGTGGTAATTTTTGTTAATTTTTATTAATTATATATTTATGCATAATTATTTTATATATAATTATAATTATCACAAATATCATTGTATTATTTTCTTTAGAGCAGTAACATCTCTTGGGACGTATACAATTCGAATTGGTTAAAAAGTAGTCCTTCTGCAAGAAAAAATCTTATACAGTGTATCATCAGATCGCAGAAATCTGAAACAATTCACGTTGGAAAAATAAAGATGCCATTGTCTTTTCAATATTATGCTTCTGTAAGTATATATTTATTAATTTTATAATGTTCATTTTATTATTTTACTTTTTGGAACGTAAATATGAGTCATTAATAATTAAATAATAATATATTCTACGTGTGTTTTCAGTATTTGACTTCATCTTTCTCTTACTTCACCAGCTTGAGAGCTGTACTTAGAAAAAGATACGATTAGATCATTTAGAAAAAAACGAAAGAAAACTAACTCAATATATTTGATCTGTTAAAATAATTTCTTTCTCAAAAGCATTATTACCTTAGTTGCATTCCTAGTTTGCTTGTCCTCAAATCTGTTAAATTTCAATATTAAATAAAAGATGGACACTTCTGTACAATAAATAAAAACTAAGGAATAATATGAAACACAAATGAAAATATAATTCAATCAATGAACGAAGAAAGAATTTCAACGCGTATGCACATTTATAATTTTAATCTTAAATCTTAAAAAAAACTATGAAAAAAAAAAATAATAATATACTTTTTATTACAAATATTCACGTTATAAATATTTTATTAATGACATTATTAGCTGCAAGATATGCTAACAATAAAATACGATAAAAATTGTCTTCTTTTTTCCATCACTCAATATCAAATCAAATATATCGAGTAAATATATATATATATATACAGATACGCATTTACCCTTTCGTTACTAGCAACCCATATATGGATCGCCTATATTTGTATATGGGCCCTTCGGGCCCCACCGGACCCGTATATAGATCCTTCGTGCGACTCTGTGTATGTACGAGCAAATTTATATGAAACAACAATCATCGTACCGAAACATACAACAGTAACGAAAAGATTTATTGAAAATTATTAATTATAATTAATTAATGTTCTAGTGATAATAATAAAAACGAATGATTATTACATAAAGGTAATTCTTTATTATTATTAGTAAGCGCGATTACTGTAGCGTACAAATACGTCAGTAGTCCAGTTTTATTTAATTATTTAATTAATCTTTCTTTCTTTTCTTTTTTTCTTTCTTTCTTTATCATTCTCGCTCGCTTAGCACTTTCCATTTTCTTTTAGTGTGTTTTAAAACGGTATGCATTAAATGTCAAATCCAACAGCTCACTAATAATATATTGCCGCCCCATTTGAAAAATATAAATATCAAGCACAAGCAATCACGTTTTTTCTCTCTTTTTCTCTCTCTTTCAATTTTTAAGCTACATTATTAACTTTCGTATCGTTTGCTCGTAGCTCCATTTTTCTTATTCAAATTTTCTTTCTCCCATAAAGCCAAATGGTCTCTCGTTGACTCTTAAAATTAATGACTACAATACACATATATATATATACACATATATACATATATTAAAATATATGTGTATATATACATATTTATTTATATGCATGTATATATTATTATTTGTTTGTTTCTTGTTCTTGCATCTCTTCATTATTTTAACCACTTTTGTTATTAACGACCCTTATACGGATCTTATACTATGGAAAAGTTCCTTCAACCCATATAAAGGTCGTTACATACATGATGCAATGATACACACAAATATGTACGACCGAATTTTATATGGAACAATACTCACACCAAAACATGTTTTAACGAAAGGGTTTAATATTATCGTCATTGTCTTTATTCTCCTCTTCATGAACTTATTATAATCAACTTACACCTTCAATCTTATTAAAGTCATTTTATGGCGCATGTGTTTATTTTTTTCGTTTTTTTTTTTTTTCATATTCAATATTGTCAAATCGGACCATGCCTGAGAGAGACACACGAACTAACAGTTTCATCTTTTTCTTTTTCTTTTTCATTTTCTTCTTCTTCTTCTTCTCCTTCTTCTTCTCCTCCTCCTCCTCCTCCTCCTCCACCACTATCATTTTTCTTAACCGTTTACGACAATCTATTATTTTAATTTAATTTAATATCATTCATAGATTTACAGTAGAGAGAATATAATAAATGACACTCTTCGGATACCACAATCGACGGATTTTATAAATTTTTTT